CATATTAAAGCGTCTTTGGTTTTTCCATGTTTTCTACAAAACAAAACTGGAAATCGAGGGGTTATGACGTCATTGGCAGGCGACACAATGACACTATGGACACGGTCCGTGTCAATTGCTTGTTTATCTGGATTTAAACATTCTTCGAAACATTTGGGATAATGTAAGTACACAAGTCAGTAAAATATATAACACTGTTCTAGTGGTTTTTGGATATTTTAACAAAAAAAATCGTACATATTGTGTCTTTAAACTGTCAGACCTGTGACACGGGACGTGCACAAGCTTGCGACGTGTTAGAGCTGAGATGCTCTTGGGATACAGGTTTCAGTCACTTTCCTCTGTCTATCCACTTTCCTATCTGTTAAAGGCTGTAAATTAAAGTATAGTGCATTTTTAAATAATAAATAAATATAAACTGATGTTCACACTGACAGTGATTAAATCACTATAGCAAGGTAAGTTTTTCTCATGACTTTTCGTATAAACATTACTTGAAAAAAAGAGCACAAAATTAGAAAAATACAAAATTCAACTAGTTGCCAAGGCAACATTTGTCTTTTTCATTTAACTTATTGTACTAAAATCTGAAATGCACGGTGGCACATTGCTGCCACATATATATTATTTTTTCCACTCAATTATATTGTAATGAGATATGTCATTTCAAGAATATATTTTCTCGTAATAATGAGATGTCGATAAAACTATACATTTTCTCATAATCATGATATATTATGCAATACAAACTATATCTTTTTCTGTTATAATGAGATATTATATGGTTAAAATATGGTTAAAATAACATATTTTGTATCACACTTCCACATTTGAAAAGCCCGAAAAAATATAAATGAAATCAAGAATAAAATAAATTCATAAAAATTCTATACTGTAGACATTAAAATAAATAATAATCATAATTATAAAACAATAACAAAAACACACAAAAAATTACCAAAACAGAAAAAAAAAAACTAATTCAAAATATGAATTGAAACTATAATAGTATCTCAGTAATATTTAAATAACAATGATCATTAGTGGCATACATGTGAGACTTCAGTAACCAACTGTATCTGACCAATAAAAATAAAGACGTTTTTCATGAATTTACAGATGTAAAGGGAGAAAATAAATAAATAAATAAATAAAACAGAAAAAAAACATTTTACAGCAGCTACACTTTTAAAACAAAGCACAATTTCTAACCAATAAACTTTTTAATGCTGAGTATAACTAATTTCCATGACTTTCTAATTCCCACATAATTCCAAGTTTTTCATGACCGTAGGAACCATGAATCCTGAGTAGTAAATCTCTGTCAGTGTGAATGCCCCTTTAATAGGATATCCTGACCTCTAACCGTTCTGCCTTCACATCATTCAGGCTCATTTGCACGCTGGAAATACAGTTAGTGAGCAGCTAGTGGCGGCAGCCGTGCAAGTAAGTGCAGTTAGTCGCGGCAGCAGGGAGGTAGTAAGTATGCGGTCGAGTAAGCAGGGGTGCGAGTGTGCTGAATTTGTTGGGAGGAGTTCAAAGTCACGTCTGGGTTTTTGAGCAAAGAGCAAGACCTCCAGAACAGCACGAAACACCATGTACCCTCACCGCCTGTCATCCGGCTGGCTGAAGAACCGTCCGATGTCACACGTGGGCCGAGTCCGTTTCAGCATGTGGGTGTCGCTGACGCTCCTGCGGTTTAGTATTAAAGAGTGTGTCTGTACGTCCATGTGTGTGCATGTATGCATGGCGGCTTCCCTCAGTGCTACATTTCCACACGCCGTCCGGGAGGAAAAGGTCACCGGCAGCCATGCGTAGCGTATCACGTGCTCCCGTCCAACTGCTGCAGTATGCATGCACACTAAACATAGCACAAGGCCACGGCTTCGACAAGTGCACCAACCTGCTGCCATTTCACAGCCAACAACCAGCTCATTTAAAGACTTTTTAGTGCAGTTTTAACTGGGTGGGAATGTGAGCGCTATCCTGCACGCTACTCTGAAGATGAAAGTGTCCAGATCATGTGTGTGAACTCCAGATGAACCCCACATCTGTGTGTGTTTCTGATGCTGACAGCGTTGCAGAGAGAGGAGAACTAACTGTCGTTTATCAGCTCTCTGCTCAGTATGCTGAGACGGTCAGGTCTTTCAGAAGAGCTAAATGGAGAGGCAGCAGGGAGCTTATCAAAGCCGAAAGTTCAGCGGAAAACACAGATGGCACCGGCTCGTCTTAAAGTGAGCTCTTTGAAAATACCAGCAAAAAAGACGCTCTTTAAACAGTGATATTAGGCCAAAACAGTCTTATGTTTGGCCAAAGCACTGTATGATTTATTTATTTGTTGTGTTGTGTTATATGTTTGTTTTCTGACATCAGCATCTTCATGGCAAGAACACAGTAAGATCAGTAAAACATTTTTTAAAAATAATAATAATTAATAAATACATAAAAATTTTATAAGTTTAATTATTTAATTAATTAATAATTGTTAAAATAAATAACATACACACAAAATTACCAAAAATGTAACTAAAAAGAAGATAACACAAAATATAAAATAAAAACTAATTCAAAACATTAATAAAAACTATAATCAGGGGTGCACACAAGTTTTTCGGTCTGGTTCTCATGAGAGCACCTGGAGATTTGGTTTGGTACTTACACTGCACATAGTGTGACCCATTAAATATAACTATAAAAAAAAAATAATAATAATAATAATAGTGCACTTTTTTAAAATAAAATAATAAACAAAATAATTAAAGTTTGCTAATACTATTATATTTCAAAATGAAAAAATAAATAAATAAATAAAATTATCTTATAGTACACTTAAAAAAATACAAAGCTAATATTTAATTATTTATTTATTTAATATGAATTTTCAACATTTTCAAACCTAAAATCAGCAAGCTTTTATTTTGACAGGTTGCCGGCAAGTATATGCGCATTTTTACCCAGCGCATTTTTTATTTTGGTCGTGCATGTGTAAATAAATTCATTAAAAAAAGCTTTCTTGCAATGTGCCATTAAATCAGATGTGTTATTATTCAGGCAGCTACTACAAAAACGGTTTAACAAGCTTTACTAGCTTTCTTAGTAAGATCAATTTCAAACAGTTGTTCCATCATGACAGTAGTTGAACTGAAAGAGAAAACTGACCATAGATGTAAGATCAAGTTCATGTTAATGCTCACTTTAGCGCCTCTTGTGGCAGCACAGAGAATGCAAAGCGTACTTGAGTTGCTATGAGTTGTTTTATGACATTTTGGAACGAAATGACTCGTGAAATCAGGCTTGCATACCTAGAAAACATGTAGACGTGTATGTTTCAGGCCTCAAATTGAAAATGAGTTATTCTTTTGAACAAAACCAAATAGGGGTGGAACGGTTCAACTTACTCACGGTTCGGTTTGTATCACGGTTTTAGAGTCACGGTTTGTGCTATGTTTAGGCAAAAACTATACTGTCAAATAAAAATAAAGAAAATGTTACAAATGCGTCGTCAGATTGAAGTTGAACCGCGGTCCTAGTGCGTGCCGAACCGTGTGTGGAGAACAGTACGGTTCGATTTTTTTCCGCAAACCGTTCCACCCCTAAAACCAAATGTGTTTGACTATCAAAAATAAGTGATGGTGACTTGGAACCTGTTAATTGAATTGAGAACAAGTGACTGAACAAAAATGAATCAGACTTTCCAGCAGTAATCATTACAGTACATTACGTGCAATACAGCTATTCCAAAGACCAATGAACTTCTAAAACTCCAAGAGCAGTTGTAGAGGGTAATATCAGAAACCGACATGATATTTCCTGCCATTCCGGGTTGAGAATGGATTCTCTGGCGGAATGAAACGAAAGCGTGCGTCCGCCATCCCTCGGGACTCTACATAATGCATGAGCCAGTGCAGGGTTACATAGAGAAATGCTCTGAGCTTGCAAAGATCAGGCCAGAGAGAGGAAGTGCACTGATCTGACAATTTCCTGTGATATCATTCACCACCGTTGCATTTGCTTTAGCCATACGATCTGGGCTGTTTGATCGTTCTGCTGTTCATGTGCTTGTTTTATCATGCATCTGAACTGATATAATTCAAGAATTACACCTCTATGCGGTTGTATTCTCACGTTCTGTTCCAAAACGTATGTGAAGCAGCAATTTAAGCTGTCGAGTGTGCTTCAAATGCAAAGGTCATCCCAAAAGAGAAGTAGCATGCATAAACTCGTAAGGGGATTTACTGAAGTATTGCTGAAGCATTAATAAAAATGTTTATAATAATTAATAATAATAATTATAAAATAAAAACAGAAAATATATATTTTATACATTATAAAAAGTGAGAGAAATTATAAATACATCGTTGAATACTAAAAAGCATTAATAAAAATGTAAATAAAATAAAAAATATTAATTGTATATTTTATACATTTATATATATAAAAAAAGAAGTGAGAGAAATGTTGATTATAAATATATTCTGTTGAATACTGAGAAGTATTAATAAAAATGTTTATAATAATGAATACAAATAATTATAAAATAAAAATGATCATTTTGGAGTACTGTTGGCTCCCCCTATTGTTTGAATGTGACGAATGCAGCCCAAAATCTAATTCATCAATTTCAACATTTGACGTAAGACTTTACAAAGCATCCATCTTCTCTTAAATGTCAAGCATTTTATTGCTTATTAGATCAATCTGCTGAGGAACATTAAATTATGCGACACAATAGAGTGAATGCATTCACGGTGACTGGAGGAAATAATAATAATAATAGTCTCATGTGCAGCTCTGTACTACCAGTATCAGTGTCACATGCAATGCAGGATCATGGCAAAGATGGAGACTGACAAACACGCACTCACACACACGTCCGAGCCACAAGCGGCATGTCATCCGGACTCTGTCTTCTCCATGCGGTATCTCTCATCACATACCCCTACACTCTTACGACACACAGAGGTTTTAATGCCCAGAATTGTCAACCAATCAAATCAACCTGATAACTACTTTTTGTTGTCCCATCGCAAGTTGATTTGGTCGTCATTCTGCGCATTAAATGGTGAGGGTGTAGGTGAGGGTTCTCAAAATGCATGTGAGACTGTGATGCTCGCGTCTACAGGTGAAGCAAGGTGATGCAGATTAGACAAGCAAGAGCATTCCTTGAGGAAGAGCAAGGCCAGGAGCTGCCTTTAGGACAGGCGAGCTAGAACCAGAACTTACTTTCCACTAATAACCGGCTCAGATCTCCGAGAGACCAGGCCCGGTCTCGGCAGGTGGTTATTCCTATCGATAAGGACAAAGTTTGTCAGAACACACACACACACACACACATACATACAGAGCGCATCACACACGTTGGTTCCTCTGCCTTTGTGGTTTGAGAAGTGGCTGTTTTGAAAGACTGTGTCTCTAAAGAGACACGGTCAGCGAACCGCTAAAGAGTCATTTGAGTCTCTCTCAGGTTCTTCACTGACCTACTTTGGCTTTTTTCCATGTCGTATTAAAGGAATAGTTCACTCAAAGATCACCTTCATGTCAATCCAAACTCGATGAATAAAGTGTACTGTGGCCACCAAGCTCTCAGAAGAAGAAAAAACACTGTAAAACTGTGGCTTTATACATCACAGTCACGCATTTGGAATGATATGAGGGTGAGTTTGCACCTGAAATACTCCTTTAATGCCATATTCACACTACCGTTCAATAGTTGGGGGTCAGTACAATTTTTAATGTTTTTAAAGAAGTCTTTTATACTCACCAAAGCTGCATTTATGTGATCAAAAATACAGTAAAACAGTAATATTGTGAAATATTATAATTTTAAATAACTGTTTTCTATGTGAATTCTCAAATGTAATTTATTGCTGTGATCAAAGCTGAATTTTCAGCATCATTACTCCAGTCTTCAGTGTCGCATGATCCTTCAGAGATCATTCTGATATGCTGATTTGCTGCTCAAGAAACATTTCTGATTATTATCAATGTTGAAAACGGTTAATACCTAATATTTTTGTGTAAACCATGATACCATGATATTTTATTTATGATTCTTTTAATGAAACTTCATGAAAGTTCAAAAGAGCAACATTTATTTGAAATGTGTTTAAAAAAAAGTTGTAACATTATAAATGTCTTTAACTGTCACTTTTGATCAATATAAGTCATCATTAGTAAATAAAAGTATTAATTCCTTCTTTTTTTTTTTAAATGTACGTATGTAATAAAGGTTTGTAAAGTCTCTTACTCTCTTCAATGTGTGTGAGAAAGAGAAATGATGTAGACAGAGAGAGAGAGACTGATGTTAGAGACGTGTGACCTGGGGGCAAACAACATACCACTGATGACCACACACATGTACATGTACTACATATAGAGACACAAACACACACACACACACTCAAACAACAGTGAACCATCAATGGATGAGACAGCAGAACATATATGTGGGCTAACTGGTCCTTTTCAACCTGTAGTTCTATCTGTTTTAAGACATTATATCAAATCAGATCACAGAAAGTATTCTTGAACTCTTTTTGGTTACTAGAAAAGAAAACTGTAAGATATCTGCATGAACAAATGAAATTACGCTGAATCACAATACAAGCATGACGTCTCATTTTAGTGTGCTTTTGCTCTGTGAAACAAAAGTCAGTCCAAAAAAATCTAAATAAAACTTGACTGACCCAAAATAAAGTAAAGGGTTATGGGAAAATGGCACATGGTTTTAAACGGTTCCAGTACTCACATGTCACTGGTGATGGAGGAGTTTCGGGACATCGACTTCGGCGACAGGTCATAGTCGCTGTCGGAGCGGTAGAGGAAGGATTCCCTCCGCTGGCTGTGCACAAAGTTGGCCTGAAGGATCAGGCCCGAACCCGGACTCGTCATGGGATCCAGGGGACTCCGTCCTGACGACGTGCCATTGTCCACGTCAAAGCTACAAAGAAAGAGAGATACTGGCGTTATGAAACCAATAACGAAATGTTAGCGTTAACACAGTAAGTTTAGTCAAAAATTACAGTGCTCTTCCCCAAAATCAGGGTTTGCTGCCTGCATTTTCCCAAGAAGCACATGTGCACCCAAGTTGGGTGCAATAAAAATGGATCATATAATGTGTTACAAAAGTTATTTAATTTATTAGAATACGAAAAGTACACTTTAAATGTTTTTACATATTTCTGCTCAAACATTTAAATATTTAAAAGTTTTTAATAATTTCTGCTTCAAACTGTACTTAATTATATACTGTACATACATATGTGACCCTGGACCACAAAACCAGTCAGAAGGGTCAATTTTTTGAAATTGAGATTAATATACATAAATAAATAAGCTTTCCACATTGATGTATGGTTTGTTAGGATAGGACAATATTTGGCCGAGATACAACTATTTTAAAATCTGGAATCTGAGGGTGCAAAAAATCAGAAGAAGGCAATTGAGAAAATCGCCTTTAAAGTTGTCCAAATGAAGTTCTTAGCAATGCATATTACGAATCAAAAATTAAGTTTTGATATATTTACGGTAGGAAATTTACAAAATATCTTGATGGACCATGATCTTTACTTAATATCCTAAAGATTTTTGGCATAAAAGAAAAATGTATAATTTTGACCCATACAATGTATTGTACAAATATACAAATATAATACATTTTGTGGTCCAGGGTCACATTTGTGTTTATTATAGCATTAAATTAGCTATATTATCAAGAGAAAGGAAAAAATGAAATCGCATCATATGACCCCTTTAATGTAGGACTTTTAATTAGAAACAAGCCCAAGCAGGACTCTTATTTTGAAATGTCTATTGAAATTCACAAAGATGATGTGACACAAAAGATACTTTCTTACAACCATCTACAACATATTACAATAAAAACACCATAAAGTAAACACTCATAATTTACCAACAGTAAATCATAAGCAATCGTTTGGCATAAATGCGCAATATTCATTGATTGTGACCTGTTCTGAAACTCCGAGTCTGTAGAATGCGCAACAGCGGCGTGTTTCTACTTTGAAACATGCAGCTCTCATATTTATTTAATGAAATCATAGCCTTTTGAAGTTTAAAAATAACATGTATAAAGAATCCTGTTTTGTCCATCCAAGTGTAAGATTTCTTAAAATGATTATTAAGACATTTGTTATACCGTTTAAGATATTTCAACCTTAAATTCCATTGCATTTCAACCTTAAATTCCATTACATTGCAAAACTGCATTTAAGTCGTTTTATTCGCACATGTGCTCCTAAATACATTTACATTGCAAATGTGAGCGAAACCTTGTAAACGGCCTGCAGGAGATGCCGCTCATCACCTCACAGCCCTGAGCACACATGAAGGTGGACCAGAGAGAGCATGCTGGTGAACACAGCTGCTTATCATAATGACCTGTGCTAGCACAGGGGTTTCCCTCTCAGTGATGTCTACCGCACAGGTGGACACTGTCACTGGCTTTAGCTGTTGTAATCCCATCCATTGTGTTAAGAGGCTATTTGACGGCTAATCGCCGCTGTGAGGTACTCATGACGTCACTGGTGGTGATTCATCAGGTGACCGAGTTTCCCCGCGAGCATCCCCATCTGAAACCACAACAAATCCCCAGTGACTCACTCCACACGTCTCTCTGACCGTTTTAAAGATGAGCAGCAGTTTCCTAAAAAGCCTGAATGGGTGAAGCAGCGACAACACGTGGGTCTGGAATGCTGCCGCTCTCGACCTCGAACAAAAGAGCAGGTCTGTTTGCATCACTGAGACAGACGTGTATTCGTGCACATACACCACCGATTTCAAATCCCAAGAAGCACGAGGCCTTTCCAGCGGAAAATGATGAGCAGAGGTCAGAGGAAGAGATACAATGATAAATGACTATCTGTAATTGTGGGGAACAAGCTTAAATTCCTCTCCTAAAAAGGATGAGAGCAGTCAGCTCGGTGAAGATCTAAATGCACCTACAGTGTTGCTCGCTAACACAATCCAGACTGCTGCACGGCTAGCAAAACACAACTGCAGACTGCCACATCATCTTGTCTGAGAAGCAATGACAGCTCCAGAGTCTGGAAACAGGTTTGCTGAAGCACATATGAATGGTTTGATATAAAGTGACCTGCTAAACAGCAAGAAGTCGTCCTGTACTTAAGAGTGAGTTACTTGATCTCAGCTGAACGTGGTGTGACTTGCTTTAAGGTCTGTGATCAAGAAACTTATTTTCCTTCCTGTTTTACACTTTGGCCACTTTTGCATCACTGTTCTCAAGACTTGAGAAGTTGTGCAAAATTCACAAACCTGACTCTGATCTTAAAATCAACTAATTTGTATAGCACTTAAAGCACCTCTCTATGTATGTATCATCTATCTATCTATCTATCCATCCATCCATCCATCCATTCATCCATCCATCCATCCATCCATCCATCCATCAAAAACGAAGCATTGTTTAAGTTTTAAAAAGTCAAGATTCAAAGTTTGTCCTAACACACTCATGGTTTTCTTGTTGAAAATTACAGTTACATGAATGAATTTTACATTTATTAATTCTGCTTCCTGAAATGAAAGTTGCAATCCTGCAGCCTGATGCAAATTTGATTCAAACTCTAGAATTTGATTGGAATTAAAAGGCATTCTCCATTCATTTCTGAATATTGCACAACCCTGACTTGAGAGGCATGACTCAGTGACTGACTGACCTTGAAGAGCTGGTGATAGAAGAGAGATGCAGAAATCAATGACCCCTTGTTCTGCAGCCAGATGCTTCAGTGTGAAGTCCTGAAAGTCTTTGCTATAAATGTATGTGTTAGACACATTTCCCCTCATGTCACGGTACAGTAAAGTAGAATTAAGACCCTAACCTTTGTCTTTTTCACATGCGTGACTTCTGTCTGCTGACTTTCTCTTGCTGTGCTGCGATGCAACACCAAACATTTGCTCATTTATTAAGACAAAAATAAGAGGTCAGGGACTCTCAAATGCACCGGCATGGTGAACATCACTAAGCAAACTCCTTGATGTCTAGTGATGCACAGCAAATGAGACATTGGGGAGACTGCAAAACCGCTCGCTTCTCCTGCAGTGGGACGTGTTCTGTCCTTTTGTGGGATTTGGCCTGTTTTGACCTCAGATTCATGAGTAAAGCCACAGTATTACATCAGTTCCATTAGCACGTTCTCATCCTAATGCACTTCTGCATAAGTGCGAGACCACACGGGTGCGTAAAGATACCTGAGCCTTAGCCGATACTGTCGGAGTAGTGTATTGTGATCCGTCCTCCAGAGGAGAGTTGGAGGGACAGAACGGATATACTGTATTACTTCACCTCCTACTCTCTAATAACCAACCTGCAACGCTGTGAGAATACAACCAAACCAGTCTGAAGGCTATTTAACTTGGATGGTCACCATGGGAATGTGCACTAAACGTCAAAGCTCACTGTGATGTCAAACTATTGTGTGAACTGGAAAAGGATATTAAATGAACATTTGGTTAGGCACTTTAACCACAAACATGCATGGACTGGCACATTTACTTGAAGGGTCATTCTTCATAAAAGGACAGTTTACCCAAAAATCATCATTTACTCATGGAACACAAAAGAAGATATTTTGTAGAATATTGATTTTCATGGGGGAAAGTACCATATTTCCCAGAATTTAAGTCACATTTCTGTGCTTATATTCCAAAACGACTAACATAATACAATCAATGTCAAGCATGCAAAACAAAAGTGCACACATCTGGATTTGTGCTGAATGAGAAAAGTAACTGAGCCCAAGTTTATTTGTATAGAGCATTTCAGTTTCACGTTAAATAAATTCATTTAGGCTTACTGTGTATAATAAATGTTGCTTATAATGAATGCCACTATAATTTATATATTTTTTATACTTATATTTTTCATTCCTGTTCTGAATACCATTCAATTTAAAGGATTTATTGTACAGTGAGAGGAACTAAAATACATGTTTAGTATGTTTTAAACCTTTTTTTTTATTTATAAGTATTTTACATTATTTCTGAATGTAATAATAAAATGTGACTTACATACCTATGTGACAGGGTTATTATCGTTAAGCAAAACTAAAACTATTAAAAAATATTTTGGTACTAAATAAAGCTGAAATAAAATAAAATAAATATGAGATAAAAACTTTTAATTAAATGAACTCTAGAAATGTTGCCTTGGCAACTAACTGAAATAAGTTGAAGCACTAAAATTACTAACTGGAAATAAATAAAAATTAAATGTAAAACTAAAATAAAAATAGTTTTTGTTAATGAATCAGAAGTAAAATAAAAACTAAGAGATAAAAAACTAATTTTATACACTAAATATAATTTTATATACTAAAATGACTAAAACTAAAGTAAAAATAAGTTAAATAGAATTATTAAAAAACTAATTAAAATGGTGAAAGCACATAAAATGACTAATTGTTAAACTGAAAATATAATAATTAAAGCTAATATAAAATTTTAATAAAAGCTATAATACTAAATAAACAATACTATAATAACTCCGCATGCAACTTTTTTTTTTGTGGGGAACAAGCTTAAATTCCTCTCCTAAAAAGGATGAGAGCAGTCAGCTCGGTGAAGATCTAAATGCACCTACAGTGTTGCTCGCTAACACAATCCAGACTGCTGCACGGCTAGCAAAACACAACTGCAGACTGCCACATCATCTTGTCTGAGAAGCAATGACAGCTCCAGAGTCTGGAAACAGGTTTGCTGAAGCACATATGAATGGTTTGATATAAAGTGACCTGCTAAACAGCAAGAAGTCGTCCTGTACTTAAGAGTGAGTTACTTGATCTCAGCTGAACGTGGTGTGACTTGCTTTAAGGTCTGTGATCAAGAAACTTATTTTCCTTCCTGTTTTACACTTTGGCCACTTTTGCATCACTGTTCTCAAGACTTGAGAAGTTGTGCAAAATT